ATGTATATGCACAAATTGCTCTTGTTAGTTAGCGCCAATGCATGGTGATCCTAGTGCAATTCTGTAAGGCGTCACTGGCCATTTTTTTTTTTTTTTTTTACAAATATCTTGCCAAGATCTTCTTCCCAGTCTCATCTGAGGTGAAACTGACATTACTGCAACGTATAAGCTTTTATCAAACTTCGGTCATACCACATGGAAGGGAGCATTCTACCATTGGATAGCTATTGCTTTATATTTACACCAAAAGTGAGCAAACGTTGCAGATCAGAGCTTTCCTCCAATGGAGGTACTTAATCATTTAAAAGCACACCATTGCCCATATTCCCCTGCCATTGAGAATGTAACCTTTCTAAAAAATTTTACCATTGGAATATGTTATTTATGAGATTGAAGAAGATGAGAAAAAAAAATACATAGAACTTGATGAGGAAAGTCTATAATAAACCCAGAAATTCTAACGCCCATTAAAAGTGATACCCAGGTTCTTCTATACAATGAAATATTGTTTTCAACTGTGCTTCCCTGGTGCAAGATACCACTTGCTTGGGGGCAATCCAAAGTCTCACACTTCCAAAAATAAAATTTTATAGACAGTAATTAAAAGCCCAGGTTTCACAGTCAAAATACGTGAGAACTAATATTGGTTCCATCACTTACTAGCAGTGTGACCACTGGCACATGATGTACATTATGAGCCCTAAGGACACAATGATAAAATGTCTTATACAGTGCTAGGTAGAGATTGTTGCAGATATCAAATAAAATAGAGAATGACAACCCCTTCCACTGTGAGAATGCAGTGCATTTTTTACTATTACGTTTATTATTAGGTTGCTCACTATGAAATTGTTGATATTTAACTATTTTCCACATATAAAAATGGCATACATTTCAACTTATTATGTCTTGGTGACTAATAATGAGAATATTTTGACATCCTAGGATTTTAATCAATAATCTCAATTTCTTATATCTCAAATATAGGCACACTCATAAGCTATTCATTTCCTACACCCATGACACATCTATGCCATAATTTTGTTGTTGTCAGCTGCCATCAAAATGGTTCTGACTCATAGTGACCCTATGTACAACAGAGCGAAACATTCCCCGGTCCTGAGCCATCCTCACTGTTTTTGCTATACCTGAGCCCATTGTTTCAGTCACTGTGTCAATCCATCTCCTTGAGTGTGTCCCCCTTTATTTCTAACTCTCTATTTTATGAAGCATGATATCTTTTTCCAGGGAATGGTCCCTTATGACAACAGGACCAAAGTAGGTGAAATAAAGTCTGGCCATTCTAACTTCCCAAGAGCATTCCAACTGCACTTCTTCCAGGATAGATTTGTTCATTCTTCTGGTCATTCATGGCACTTTCAGTATTCTTCTATAACACCACATCTCAAAAGCATCAACTCTTCCTTAGTCTTCCTTATTCATTATCCAGCTTTCACCTCCATATGAGGTGATTAAAAATACCAAGGCTTGGGTTAGGCACACCTTAGTTTTCAAAGAGACATCTTTGCTCTTCAGCACTTTAAAAATGTTTTTTTTTTTTGCAGCATATTTGCCCAGTGCAATACAACATTTGATTTCTTGACTGTTGCTTCCATTTCTGTTGATTGTGAATCAAAGCAATATGAAATATTTGCCAATGTCAGTCTTTTCTCCATTCTTCATGTTGATGCTTCTTGGTCCAGTTTTGAGGATTTTAGTTTTCTTTACGTTGAGGTATAATCCATACTGCTGACTATAGTCTTCAATCTCCATCAGTAAGTGCTTGAAGTCATCTTCATTTTCAGCATGCAATGTTGTTTCTTTTGCATACCACAGGTTGTTAATGAGTCTTCCTCCAAACTTGATGCTGTGTTCTTCTTCATATAGTCCAGCTTCCTGCATTATTTGTTCAGCATACAGACTGTATAAGTATGCTGAAAGCATACAACCTTGATGCACACCTTTCCTGATTTTAATGCATGCCTTATCCCCTTGTTCTGTTTGAATGACCACCTCCTGGTCTATATATAGGTTCCTCATGAGCACAATAAGTGTTTTGGAATTCCCATTCTTCTGAATGTTATCCATCATTTGTTATGATGCACACAATTGAATACTTTTGCATAGTCTGGAGAACATGAATAATCATCTCAGTGTGTGAAACTTTGGTTGCTTAGATGTTGTTATGATACTGGAGTCTTTGCCACCGGTGTTTTAAATACCATCAGGGTCACTCATAGTGAACAGGCGTCTGTGGAGCTTCTAACTTCCTGTCAAAGAATTGGCCAGTGAAAACCACATGAATAGCAGTGAAACATGGTCTGATATACCCCATATTATGAACTCTAAAATATATAGTCATAGCAAGTACACTGAAAAGTTTGTCATTGCATATTTAGTCACAAATAAGTAAATATTAACAGAGTACCTTCTTTTCTGATGATTTGGTTCCACTTTTCTCTTTATCATTCTCATGTATGAATTACTTAATTGGTCCATTGTAGTTGGCAGAGCTATGGTTTCTTATGTAGTAACAGATATTTTGATAGTTAATATGACATTGGTCACAGTAAATTCAGGAGTCAATGGGTAAGGAAATGGAAAGATAGAATAAACTCCGTTCTTTGATGGAATGTGTGATGAAAGAAAGGGGACTAGTCCAAAGGAAATGGTGATTCAGTATCACTGGAGAGTTTCAAAAGCACTGAGTTTACCCGTGGAATCTAGATCACATGTTATTTATCCAATATTTTATGTAATGGCACAGTTCTTGTATAATGTAGTCATCAATTGCTCTTTTCAAATTAAATTGTACTATTCAGTCATTGTCTAGAAAAGTAATCAATGGAAATGGATAAGAAAAATATTGTCTGCTAAACTGTTTTGAGGAGAATGCAGATAAAATGTGAAATCTGGGAAGCACCATAGGGTTGAGGAATAAAGCTCATATTGAATGTATTTTCATAAAAAGTATTGCAAAAGTTACCAAAAATAAACCAAACTCACTGTGAACAAGTTGATTCCAACTCACAGTGATCCCTGTGGGGTTTCTAAGGCTATAAATCTCTATGGAAGAAGACTGTCTCATCATTCTCCTGTGGAGTGGCTCTTGCAATTGAAATTGTAAAAATTAGACAATCACAATTAAAAGAAGGCCTAGAACATGAGATTTTACTTTAAGATGAAAGTTGTTGATCAAAGATCCTTTTTTCCAGTACAGATAATCCTTGAAGATACCTAGAATAGTTAGTTTCATTTGTGATGAAGAATTGACTCTGCATAGATAGAGAATTCAGTGGCATGACAGGAGCAGTTATTACAATACTATGAGGTCCTTAAGGAGAGTTACAAACATATTTGACAGATGGCTAAAGTTTGCCGCTGAATATTTACTCCATGAGTTGGCTACATCTATCATGGTCACATTGAAAGAAAATACAGATGATGGAAGTATAAGGCAAAGTCTGCAAAATATTGACAATTTTAGTCAGGTGAAGGGAATACATTTCATTTGAAATATGGAAGTAAAACATTATTAACAGGAAGCACTCTTTTATGTTATAATAGCAGTTGAACCACTTCAACTATGTTATTAGGCATGTGACAGTCCTTGAGCAAGCTACTTAACTACATCTGATCTGTTTTCTTGACTGTAATGTGTATATATTAATAAATACCACAAATTCTGACTTTATATTGTTATAGGTAAATTTACATGGAGCAATAAATACAAAGGACACCAAAAAAAGAAAAAACAATGTCACTGGCGTCGAGTCAATTTGACTCATAGTGACCCCTGTTTGGGTTTCTGAGGTAGTATTTCTACAGAAGTAGATGATCCATTCTTCCTTCCGAGGAGTCATTAGTGGGTTTGAACTGCCAGCCTTCTGGTTAGCAGTCAAATGCCCAAGTGTATGAATGTTGTTCATGGTTATTATTGTGTTTATTATTTTGTATAGAATATTGCTCAACTATAAAAAATATCACTTGTGTAGTTTGAAAAAGTCTTATAGCCTCTCATTCAGTAGTCACTTATTGCCTTTTACATTATTTCTTCAGGAAATCAAAATTTATTTTTTTAAAAAAACATGCAAGTGAAGGAAGCAGAGAAATAAAATAAAATAAAATAATGTAATATGTATGTGCACTGTACCATATTACAGTTATGCACAGGGATCTATGGAAGCACAGAGAAATTATGTTTAATGCACATCGTGAATGCCCAGGGATGCTTTTAATGGGAGATATAGCCTGAGCTAATTTTCTAAGGATCATTGTGATACTAGCAGGTGAATATTTGGTGAGGTAAGCAGAAAAAAAAATTCCAAAGAGTGAGTAACATATCAAAAATATATGTTCTATGGACGCTTAGATGGATTAGATTTTATTACTTTGGACAAACTGATGGTTGTGTTTATTTTGGTATAGTAGTTGAGATTCTCCTTCTGAACCATATCACATCTTCTTGGCCTCACTTGTCTCTTGCTTCTGCCATTACTTCAGTGACCATTTTGCATGGACTTTGTTTACATTCTTGCAGGTATAAGCTGAGAGTATCTCACCATATGCCCTTACTATTTGCCTCCAAATCAGGACTTTTACTGTTGATATAAGATGCTATGAGATGCTGGTCCATCTCCCAGTGTCCAAGTATGTTAGCTGGAAGGAGAGGAGAGTTAATGCCTCTGAGGAGAAAATCTAAGTTAGGTATTGAATAAATTCCAAAGATATACTTGTGCAACCTTTAGGGTACATCTGCTTCTTATAGCTGTCTTCATTGGCTGGTGTCAGACCATGTACTAAGCATGTGAATATATTATTGACCTTCACATGATGAGCTTTTCAAAAATGAAAATTGCTGTAGTAATGAGGTCACATAGTCTGTGTTAATTGTGCCCCACCCACTTTCTGACAGTATATAAAGGTCCAGGAATAGCAAATGGCATTCAGACATCAAAACCACCCTCTTTACCTCAATTGAAACTTCACCTCTTGACACCATGTGTTGCAACTACTACAGTGGCTGTGGCTACGGCTGTGGCTATGGTTCTGGCTATGGCTGTGGCTATGGTTCTGGCTATGGCTGTGGCTATGGTTCTGGCTATGGCTGTGGCTATGGTTCTGGCTATGGCTGTGGCTATGGCTCCCGCTATGGCTGCGGCTATGGTTCTGCCTGCTATGGCTACCGGCCATTTTGCTACAGAAGATACTATTCTTCTTGCTGGTAGAACATCTCTCTCCAAGCACCATTTACTTCTGAAATGACTCTTCATAGAACAACTCTGATTCAAGAAACTACATGCTTGATAAAGGCTAAGATCTCCTAGGACCTCCTTCTTAGAATGACGTTTTTGTGAATGGTGACTCCATGATATTGTCTGTTTTCCAAATGTGACCCTTTACTCCCTTACTTTCCAATCTTCTGTTATGATGCTCTTGTTTTCCCATGTAGGTGTGGAAATCAGTTATTTTCAATAAAAATTGTTCTTTATTTTGAGCAACTCTTTGTGTTTGCTTGTGAATTTGACCTTCCTTGAGATGTTATGCCTTCTCTTTATGATTGGGCTAACAATATGTTGTCTGTCTTTGAGTTATTCACGGACATATTTAATTCTTCTTATACTTGCATCTTAAAAAATGTCTGCACCCTTTATTTCCTACATCTCACATTGTTAAGAACACAGACACCTAAGTACACATCACACGGTATATCAGAGCTGTGTAAAAGGCACTGGGGTTTTTAATGGAGCTGGAGCATAAAGACAACTACTCAAGAGGTTATTACAAAAAGCCAAAAGAAAGGAAATGTGGTCAGTGTATTTTTTTTTACTTTATTGTACTTTGGGTGCAAATTTATATACCAAATTTGTATTATATTCAAGAGCTCATGCACATTTGATTTCATGCCCTGATTGCCATCCTCAATCATAAGAAAAACTTTCCTCCCCTCTTATCCCCGTGATTGTCCACCCCCTGTGTCCTTCTTAACTATGCATTCCTCTCAGTCCAGGTTTCCATCTATGTGAATGCTGCCCTGGTGGTGTCTCATGGACGATTGCTGTAAGGGGTGTATCTCCCTAGAGCAGGTGAGTGCATTGGCCTGGGGTAGGTGTTTTGCATGTAGAGCTTTCTACTGTTGGTATGAGAGCTAATCTGTTGAAGTGAGTCCATTTCTAAACTTGAAGGGTAAACCAGGACCATAGTCTTAGGGGGCTTCACCTCTTTCTGTCTGACCAATGATTCTGATCATTTTTGTGTTTTTGAATTTTGTTTCACACTTTTCCTCCCTCTCTTTCCAGGATCTCCAGTTTTGATCCCTTACTGAGTAGTTGGTATTGGCAGCTGGTGCCATCTAGTTCTTCCGATCTTGCGGTCATGAAGACTGAGATCCTTGTGTTCCATCTCATCCTTGGACTAATTATTTCCAGATACCTTTCATTTTCTTCACTCTTCTTTGATTTAGACAAGAGGAGACCAATAGTTGCATCTTAGATGGCTGCTCGAAAGCTTTGAAGAATCCATTGTTACTCACTAAAGCAGGTTGTAGAACAAGATTTTTATGCACTATGTTGTGCCAATTGAGCATGATGTCCCTTGAGACTATGGTCCAAAATCTGCAGGCTGGTGATTCTCTCTCTCTCAAGGAGTTTGGTTCTCTCTGAGTTGCTCCAACTCTCTCTTCTGTTGCTTCTGTCACCTATGTGGCTAATTTTGTAGTACAAGTGTGTATGTAAGATTATCTTCAGCCAAATCTATCCTTGGTCTGGAGTATATTCCTGTTCATCTATCCTCACATGATATTCACACCTGTCTATGCATTTATCTGTAGGCTGGTGTTTGGTGTTGGTGGTAATGCAGTATTGTGCATGTACTAGTATTTGTCTCTGTTGTCTATATCTTATGTACATGTTTCAGCTTCCTTCCTTTGCCCAATGTCATCATGCTTGTCACAGAATCTTTTCATACCATCCCTCCCCTCACCCAAATCAACATATGACTCCCAACTAGTCCACATATTTCCCTTCCTTTCCCTCCCATCTCTGGTAACCAACAAAGTGAATTTCCCTTTCTAAGTAAACCTTTCCTTGACTTTTTACAATAATGGGTTCAATGTGGTCAGCTAATACATGAAAAGATGCTCACAATCAATGGCCACCAGACAGATGCTAATCAAAACAACAATGAGATACCATCTCACCCCAGAACTGATGGCAGGGTTCAAAAAGATAGAAAATTACAAATGCTGGTGGGGATGTGGAGAGACTGGGATTCTCATACACTGCTTGTGTGACTGTGAAGTGACACAACTACTGTGGAAAACAATATGGTGATTCCTTAGAAAGTTGGAATTGGAGATATCATTTGACCCAGCAATCCCATTACTAGGTATATATCCTAGAGAAGTGAGAGCCAGGATAGGAACAGATACATGCATGCTCATGTTCATCACAACACTATTTACAATAGCAAAAAGATGGAACCAACCTACGTGCCCATCAGCGGAAGAGTGTATGATCAAACTATGGTACATATACATAATGGAATGCTATGCAGCATTAAAAATAATGTAGAGTCTGCAAAACACTGCATAATATGGATGAACTTGGAGGACGTTATGCTGAGTGAAATAAGTCAATCACAGAAGGACAAATATAGTGTTAGTTTGTTGTTGTGGAGGGTTAAGGAAATTTTTATATATGGAGGGAGACTTTCTTTGTTGGTTGCCAGGGGTGGAAGGGGAGGGGAGGGAACACTGCAAAAGAAAAAAAAAAAAGATGCATTGACCCATGTCATTTTAGTTTTGTGTATTTCACTGTACATAAATTATATTTCAAAAAAATGTATTAAAAACATAATAATGGGCACAAACAACATTTGTCCTTCTGTGATTAGCTTATGTAAACTGAAAATAAAAATATCATTTGATGCAGCAATCCCATTACTAGGAATATATCTTAAAGAAATGAAAGAAGGACATGAACAGACATGTGAAGACCCATGTTCATTACAGCACAATTCGCTATAGCAAAGAGATAGAAACAATCTAAATGCCCAGCAACAGATGATTGGAGAACCAAACTATGGTACATTAACACAATGGAAAGCTATGCAACATTAAAGAATAATGAAGTATACACAAATCATCTCACAACATGGATGAATTTGGAGGGCATTATGGTCAATGTACAGGAGCTCTGGTAGCATAGTGCCTAAGACACTTGACTGCTCACCAGAAGGCTGGCAGTTCAAACCCACCAGCTACTCCTTGGAAGAAAGGTTGGGTAATCCTACTTCCGTAGTGATACTGCCTCAGAAACCCAAGGAGTCATCGATATGAGTCAGGGCTGACTCGACGGCAAACAACAACAACAACAGCATGGTCAATGTATTTTGAACAGTGATGGAACTTAAGAGATAGTCCAGGATGATTGAGAAAACAGAATCAGACTTAATTATGGAGCATGAGGAGCAAAAACCAGAGGAGAGAATAAGTGAGTAGAGATGTATTCATCATAGTATCAGAATTTGATTTTAAAAAAAGTATATATATTTGTTGACATACTTTAATAATATTGACTTAATTCTCTCTTTTAACAAATCATTTTTAATATTTTGAATAGGAACCTCATAGACATTTGGACACTGTAGGAAAAAAAATATGTACAAGATACCTGCTATCAAACAGCTTACATTTCAGAAGTAGAGGTTTAAAAAAACAAAAAAGCAAAAACTAATTAAGATAAATTCAGAGAGAAATGATTGCTATGGAAGGAATAAAAAAGTTTAAATGAAGAATAAAACTTGATGAATTAGAGGGCTAAGTCAGGAAGGTATTTTAAAGTTGTAACAGTTGAGATGAGATCTGAAAATAAAAAGATACCAGTTGCAAAGAACAAGTAGAAAGAATAGCACTAAGTGCAAATGGGAAGAGAAAGTTTATTAAGTTTTAGGCACAAAAAGGTGGTGCCACTTTTCCCAGTTGGAAAAGAATAAGACCCAAGATCTTAAAAGCCTCTCTTTGGAGTGGAGGAGACATCATTTCACATGCAGGTAAAATTGTTGCTGAAGATATTTCAAAACTTCTTGCTTCAGTACATAGACAGGGAACTGCCATGAATTCAAGCTGGCAATGAGGTATATTATTGCTGATGTCAGACGGATACTGGTGAAAACCAGACTACCAGAAAGATATTTAAATGTGTTTTTGTTTGTTTGTTTTTTAACTCTGCAAAGGCTTTTGACTATGTGGATCATAACAAATTCTGGATAGCATTGAGAAGAATGGCAATTATATAACACTTAGATGTGCTCACGAGGAACCTGCGGAAACACAAAGAAGCAGTGGTTCACATAGAACAACGGTTACTCTGCATGTTTTCAAATCAGGGAATGTGTGCATCAGGCCTGTATGCTTTTATCTAACTTATTCAATCTGTGTGCTCAGCAAATAGTGCAAGAAGCTAGACTACATGAAAAGAATGATGGAGACTCATTAACCACCTGTGATATGCAGGTGACACAACCTTGCTTGCTGAAATTGAAGAAGACTTGAAGGACTTACTGATGAAGATCAAAGACTGCATTCTTCTTGATGGATTATATCACAACATAAAGCAAACAAAAATCATCCCAATTGGACAAATAAGTAATATCATGATAAATGAAGAAAAGTTTCAAGTTGCCAAGGATTTCATCTTACTGGGATCCACAATCAACACCCATGGAATCAGCAGTCAGGAAATGTAAGGAAGTATTTCATTTGGCACATCTGCTGCAAAAGACTTTTAATCTTTGAAGATTAAGGTGTGCTTGGTACAAGTCTTGATATTTTTCAATTTCCTACTATGCGTGTAAAAGCTTTACAATGAATAAGGAACATTCCAGAAGAATTGATGCACTTCAATCTTGTTGTTTGTGAAGAATATGAATTTATCATGTACTGGCAGATAAAAGAACATATTTTTGGTGGAAGTAGTACAGAAGGAATGCTCCTTGGAATGAAGAATGACCATACTTCATCTCTTGTACTTTGGTTACATTCTCAGAAAGGATCAAGATACCATGCTTAGTAAAGTAGAGGGTCAATGTAAGAGAGGAAGACCCTCAATGAGGTGGATAACACCGTGGCTGCAGCAATGTGCTCAAGTATAGCAATGATTTTGAGTATGGCCCAGGACCAAGAGTGTTTTGTTCTTTTGTAAGTATGGTGGTTATGAGTTGAAAATTA